CTGACTCGTTCTAGTCTCTGTACTCTCTTTGACTCGTTCTAGTCTCTGTACTCTCTTTGACTCGTTCTAGTCTCTGTACTCTCTTTGACTCGTTCTAGTCTCTGTACTCTCTTTGACTCGTTCTAGTCTCTGTACTCTCTCTGACTCGTTCTAGTCTCTGTACTCTCTTTGACTCGTTCTATCTCTGTACTCTCTTTGACTCGTTCTAGTCTCTGTACTCTCTCTGACTCGTTCTAGTCTCTGTACTCTCTGACTCGTTCTAGTCTCTGTACTCTCTTTGACTCGTTCTAGTCTCTGTACTCTCTTTGACTCGTTCTATTCTCTGTACTCTCTTTGACTCGTTCTATTCTCTGTACTCTCTTTGACTCGTTCTACTCTCTTTGACTCGTTCTAGTCTCTGTACTCTCTCTGACTCGTTCTAGTCTCTGTACTCTCTTTGACTCGTTCTAGTCTCTGTACTCTCTTTGACTCGTTCTATCTCTGTACTCTCTTTGACTCGTTCTAGTCTCTGTACTCTCTTGACTCGTTCTAGTCTCTGTACTCTCTTTGACTCGTTCTATCTCTGTACTCTCTTTGACTCGTTCTAGTCTCTGTACTCTCTCTGACTCGTTCTAGTCTCTCTGTACTCTCTGTACTCTCTGACTCGTTCTAGTCTCTGTACTCTCTTCTTGACTCGTTCTAGTCTCTGTACTCTCTTTGACTCGTTCTAGTCTCTGTACTCTCTTTGACTCGTTCTAGTCTCTGTACTCTCTTGACCGTTCTAGTCTCTGTACCTGACGCTTCTAGTCTCTGTACTCTCTCTGACTCGTTCTAGTCTCTGTACTCTCTTTGACTCGTTCTATTCTCTGTACTCTCTTTGACTCGTTCTAGTCTCTGTACTCTCTGACGCGTTCTAGTCTCTGTACTCTCTTTGACTCGTTCTAGTCTCTGTACTCTCTCTGACTCGTTCTAGTCTCTGTACTCTCTTTGACTCGTTCTAGTCTCTGTACTCTCTTTGACTCGTTCTAGTCTCTGTACTCTCTTTGACTCGTTCTAGTCTCTGTACTCTCTTTGACTCGTTCTATTCTCTGTACTCTCTTTGACTCGTTCTAGTCTCTGTACTCTCTGACGCGTTCTAGTCTCTGTACTCTCTCTGACTCGTTCTAGTCTCTGTACTCTCTCTGACTCGTTCTAGTCTCTGTACTCTCTTTGACTCGTTCTAGTCTCTGTACTCTCTCTGACTCGTTCTAGTCTCTGTACTCTCTCTGACTCGTTCTAGTCTCTGTACTCTCTTTGACTCGTTCTATTCTCTGTACTCTCTTTGACTCGTTCTAGTCTCTGTACTCTGACTCGTTCTAGTCTCTGTACTCTCTTTGACTCGTTCTAGTCTCTGTACTCTCTCTGACTCGTTCTAGTCTCTGTACTCTCTTTGACTCGTTCTATTCTCTGTACTCTCTTTGACTCGTTCTAGTCTCTGTACTCTCTCTGACTCGTTCTAGTCTCTGTACTCTCTTTGACTCGTTCTAGTCTCTGTACTCTCTGACGCGTTCTAGTCTCTGTACTCTCTTTGACTCGTTCTAGTCTCTGTACTCTCTTTGACTCGTTCTAGTCTCTGTACTCTCTTTGACTCGTTCTAGTCTCTGTACTCTCTGACGCGTTCTAGTCTCTGTACTCTCTCCTGACTCGTTCTAGTCTCTGTACTCTTTGACTCGTTCTATTCTCTGTACTCTCTTTGACTCGTTCTAGTCTCTGTACTCTCTTTGACTCGTTCTAGTCTCTGTACTCTCTCTGACTCGTTCTAGTCTCTGTACTCTCTTTGACTCGTTCTAGTCTCTGTACTCTCTTTGACTCGTTCTATTCTCTGTACTCTCTTTGACTCGTTCTAGTCTCTGTACTCTCTCTGACTCGTTCTAGTCTCTGTACTCTCTTTGACTCGTTCTAGTCTCTGTACTCTCTTTGACTCGTTCTAGTCTCTGTACTCTCTTTGACTCGTTCTAGTCTCTGTACTCTCTTTGACTCGTTCTAGTCTCTGTACTCTCTGACGCGTTCTAGTCTCTGTACTCTCTCTGACTCGTTCTAGTCTCTGTACTCTCTTTGACTCGTTCTATTCTCTGTACTCTCTTTGACTCGTTCTAGTCTCTGTACTCTCTTTGACTCGTTCTAGTCTCTGTACTCTCTTTGACTCGTTCTAGTCTCTGTACTCTCTGACGCGTTCTAGTCTCTGTACTCTCTCTGACTCGTTCTAGTCTCTGTACTCTCTTTGACTCGTTCTAGTCTCTGTACTCTCTTTGACTCGTTCTAGTCTCTGTACTCTCTTTGACTCGTTCTAGTCTCTGTACTCTCTCTGACTCGTTCTAGTCTCTGTACTCTCTTTGACTCGTTCTATTCTCTGTACTCTCTTTGACTCGTTCTAGTCTCTGTACTCTCTTTGACTCGTTCTAGTCTCTGTACTCTCTTTGACTCGTTCTAGTCTCTGTACTCTCTCTGACTCGTTCTAGTCTCTGTACTCTCTTTGACTCGTTCTATTCTCTGTACTCTCTTTGACTCGTTCTAGTCTCTGTACTCTCTGACGCGTTCTAGTCTCTGTACTCTCTTTGACTCGTTCTAGTCTCTGTACTCTCTTTGACTCGTTCTAGTCTCTGTACTCTCTTTGACTCGTTCTATTCTCTGTACTCTCTTTGACTCGTTCTAGTCTCTGTACTCTCTTTGAATCGTTCTAGTCTCTGTACTCTCTTTGACTCGTTCTAGTCTCTGTACTCTCTCTGACGCGTTCTAGTCTCTGTACTCTCTCTGACTCGTTCTAGTCTCTGTACTCTCTCTGACTCGTTCTAGTCTCTGTACTCTCTTTGACTCGTTCTAGTCTCTGTACTCTTTGATTCGTTCTAGTCTCTGTACTCTCTTTGACTCGTTCTAGTCTCTGTACTCTCTGACTCGTTCTAGTCTCTGTACTCTCTTTGACTCGTTCTAGTCTCTGTACTCTCTGACGCGTTCTAGTCTCTGTACTCTCTCTGACTCGTTCTAGTCTCTGTACTCTCTCTGACTCGTTCTAGTCTCTGTACTCTCTTTGATTCGTTCTAGTCTCTGTACTCTCTCTGACTCGTTCTAGTCTCTGTACTCTCTTTGACTCGTTCTAGTCTCTGTACTCTCTGACTCGTTCTAGTCTCTGTACTCTCTGACTCGTTCTAGTCTCTGTACTCTCTCTGACTCGTTCTAGTCTCTGTACTCTCTTTGACTCGTTCTAGTCTCTGTACTCTCTCTGACTCGTTCTAGTCTCTGTACTCTCGGACTCGTTCTACTCTCTGTACTCTCTCTGACTCGTTCTAGTCTCTGTACTCTCTCTGACTCGTTCTAGTCTCTGTACTCTCTCTGACTCGTTCTAGTCTCTGTACTCTCTCTGACTCGTTCTAGTCTCTGTACTCTCTCTGACTCGTTCTAGTCTCTGTACTCTCTTTGACTCGTTCTAGTCTCTGTACTCTCTTTGACTCGTTCTAGTCTCTGTACTCTCTTTGACTCGTTCTAGTCTCTGTACTCTCTTTGACTCGTTCTAGTCTCTGTACTCTCTTTGACTCGTTCTATTCTCTGTACTCTCTCTGACTCGTTCTAGTCTCTGTACTCTCGGACTCGTTCTAGTCTCTGTACTCTCTCTGACTCGTTCTAGTCTCTGTACTCTCTCTGACTCGTTCTAGTCTCTGTACTCTCTCTGACTCGTTCTAGTCTCTGTACTCTCTCTGACGCGTTCTAGTCTCTGTACTCTCTTTGACTCGTTCTATTCTCTGTACTCTCTCTGACGCGTTCTAGTCTCTGTACTCTCTCTGACTCGTTCTAGTCTCTGTACTCTCTCTGACGCGTTCTAGTCTCTGTACTCTCTCTGACTCGTTCTAGTCTCTACTCTCTCTGACTCGTTCTAGTCTCTGTACTCTCTCGGACTCGTTCTAGTCTCTGTACTCTCTCTGACTCGTTCTAGTCTCTGTACTCTCTCTGACTCGTTCTAGTCTCTGTACTCTCTCTGACTCGTTCTAGTCTCTGTACTCTCTCTGACTCGTTCTAGTCTCTGTACTCTCTTTGACTCGTTCTAGTCTCTGTACTCTCTCTGACTCGTTCTAGTCTCTGTACTCTCGGACTCGTTCTAGTCTCTGTACTCTCGGACTCGTTCTAGTCTCTGTACTCTCTCTGACTCGTTCTAGTCTCTGTACTCTCTCTGACTCGTTCTAGTCTCTGTACTCTCTCTGACTCGTTCTAGTCTCTGTACTCTCTTTGACTCGTTCTAGTCTCTGTACTCTCTCTGACTCGTTCTAGTCTCTGTACTCTCTCTGACTCGTTCTAGTCTCTGTACTCTCGGACTCGTTCTAGTCTCTGTACTCTCGGACTCGTTCTAGTCTCTGTACTCTCTCTGACTCGTTCTAGTCTCTGTACTCTCTCTGACTCGTTCTAGTCTCTGTACTCTCTCTGACTCGTTCTAGTCTCTGTACTCTCTCTGACTCGTTCTAGTCTCTGTACTCTCTCTGACTCGTTCTAGTCTCTGTACTCTCTTTGACTCGTTCTAGTCTCTGTACTCTCTTTGACTCGTTCTAGTCTCTGTACTCTCTTTGACTCGTTCTAGTCTCTGTACTCTCTTTGACTCGTTCTAGTCTCTGTACTCTCGGACTCGTTCTAGTCTCTGTACTCTCTTTGACTCGTTCTAGTCTCTGTACTCTCGGACTCGTTCTAGTCTCTGTACTCTCTGCATTTGTAGCACTGTTGGTGCGCTTTGGCCCGCAGTGGCCCGCAGTGGCCCGCAGTGGCCCGCTGTGGCCTGGCTGGTGTCCTGGTTTACTGCCTCAGGGCTATAGTCATGTTTAGATCCAAAATTCATTCCTGTGTTTTCCTGCAGGATTCCTCTGAAGAAGTTCCGCTCCCTCCGTCGCTCCATCACAGACTCTGGTCGGTCTCTGGAGCAGATCATGAGCCATGGAGAGAACAACAAGTACAACCTGGGCTTCCCCAGGGCCCCCACTCCCGAGCTCCTCACCAACTATCTGGACGTAAGTGCTGCCTAGTGATGGTATAGTATATATACAGTGCCCTGCGAAAGTATTCGGCCCCCTTGAACCTTTCAACATTTCGCCACATTTCAAGCTTCAAACATAAAGATATAAAAATTATTTTTTTTGTCATGAATCAACAACAAGTGGGACACAAACGTGAAGTGGAACAACATTTATTGGATAATTTAAACTTTTTTAACAAATAAAAAACTGATAAGTGGGGTGTGCAATATTATTGGGCCCCTTTACTTTCAGTGCAGCAAACTCAGTCCAGAAGTTCAGTGAGGATCTTTGAATGATCCAATGTTGTCCTAAATGACTGATGATGATAAATAGAATGCACCTGTGTGTAATCAAGTCTCCGTATAAATGCACCTGCTCTTTGATAGTCTCAGGGTTCTGTTTAAAGCACAGAGAGAACCATGAAGACAAAGGAACACACCAGGCAGGTCCGAGATACTGTTGTGGAGAAGTTTAAAGCCGGATTTGGATACAAAAAGATTTCCCAAGCTTTAAACATCTCAAGGAGCACTGTGCAAGCAATTATATTGAAATGGAAGGAGTATCAGACCACTGCAAATCTACCAAGACCCGGCCGTCCCTCCAAACTTTCATCTCAAACAAGGAGAAGACTGATCAGAGATGCAGCCAAGAGGCCCATGATCAGTCTGGATGAACTGCAGATAACTACAGCTGAGGTGGGAGAGTCTGTCCATAGGACAACAATCAGTCGTGCACTGCTCAAATCTGGCCTTTATGGAAGAGTGGCAAGAAGAAAGCCATTTCTCAAAGATATCCATAAAAAGTCTTGTTTAAAGTTTGCCACAAGCCACCTGGGAGACACACCAAACATGTGGAAGAAGGTGCTCTGGTCAGATGAAACCAAAATCAAACTTTTTGGCCACAATGCAAAACGATATGTTTGGCGTAAAAGCAACACAGCTCATCACCCTGAATACACCATCCCCACTGTCAAACATGGTGGTGGCAGCATCATGCTTTGGGCCTGCTTTTCTTCAGCAGGGACAGGGAAGATGGCTAAAATTGATGGGAAGATGGATGGAGCCAAATACAGGACCATTCTGGAAGAAAACCTGTTGGAGTCTGCAAAAGACCTGAGACTGGGACGGAGATTTATCTTCCAACAGGACAATGATCCAAAACATAAAGCCAAATCTACAATGGAATGGTTCACAAATAGACGTATCCAGGTGTTAGAATGGCCAAGTCAAAGTCCAGACCTGAATCCAATCCAGAATCTGTGGAAAGAGCTGAAGACTGCTGTTCACAAACGCTCTCCATCCAACCTCACTGAGCTCGAGCTGTTTTGCAAGGAAGAATGGGCAAGAATTCCAGTCTCTCGATGTGCAAAACTGATGGAGACATACCCCAAGCGCTGTAATTGTTGCAAAAGGTGGCGCTACAAAGTATTAGCGCAAGGGGCCGAATAATATTGCACGCCCCACTTTTCAGTTTTTTATTTGTTAAAAAAAGTTTAAAGTATCCAATCAATTTCGTTCCACTTCACGATTGTGTCCCGCTTGTTGTTGATTCTTGACAAAAAATTAAATTTTTATATCTTTATGTTTGAAGCCTGAAATGTTGAAAGGTTCAAGGGGGCCGAATACTTTCGCAAGGCACTGTATATGTATATGGACTTGTTCACACTAAAGGGCACAAAAGTGTGACAAAAGTGTGACAAAAGGCCAAATCCCTCTGTTAGTCAGTTCCGGTACATTGGTCAGTTCCGGTACATTAGTCAGGTCCGGTACATTGGTCAGTTCCGGTACGTTAGTCAGTTCCGCTACATTGGTCAGGTCCGGTACGTTAGTCAGGTCCGGTACATTGGTCAGGTCCGGTACGTTAGTCAGGTCCGGTACATTGGTCAGGTCCGGTACATTGGTCAGGTCCGGTACGTTAGTCAGGTCCGGTACATTGGTCAGGTCCGGTACGTTAGTCAGGTCCGGTACATTGGTCAGGTCCGGTACGTTAGTCAGGTCCGGTACATTGGTCAGGTCCGGTACATTGGTCAGGTCCGGTACATTGGTCAGGTCCGGTACATTGGTCAGGTCCGGTACATTGGTCAGGTCCGGTACATTGGTCAGTTCCGGTACGTTAGTCAGGTCCGGTACATTGGTCAGTTCCGGTACGTTAGTCAGTTCCGGTACATTGGTCAGTTCCGGTACGTTAGTCAGGTCCGGTACATTGGTCAGGTCCGGTACATTGGTCAGTTCCGGTACGTTAGTCAGGTCCGGTACATTGGTCAGTTCCGGTACGTTAGTCAGGTCCGGTACATTGGTCAGTTCCGGTACGTTAGTCAGGTCCGGTACATTGACTGAAACACGTCCGTTACTCATTATTCAAGGGTCATTTAAATTTGGGTCAGGGTTTTTCTTTTTCACTAATCCCAATGATTCCTAAAGTGTTTGTTTCGTGGCTGTTTTGTCCCAACAGAAAGTCCTGTAGAACTGGTCTTAGGTACCATGTGTTCTTTTAGCTAACCCTAACCCTGGAGAGACAACCATGTGAGTCACTATTGGCCTCTTTAGTCTCAGATGAAAACGTGATGAAGCAACTCTTTTCCAGCCAGAACAGAGCCATGGGTTTAATACAGTTCTATCCGGGTCTGCCTTCGTCATGTGCCGTCGTCATGTGATCAGTTTCCTGTGTGAGCTGCAGAATCAGCCACAAAGGAAGCAGCACGTGACCAGCACTCATCAGAAACCATCGTCGTTATTTATGTAGCGCCTTTCACGCACCAGAGTCAAAGGGCTCTACAATCACTCCCATCCTGTCTGAAATCCTCATCGGTCTGTTTGTAGCTCACACTGAACGCAGAGCACTCCAGGAGACAGAACCTGGATGGTTCTCTGGTCCCTGTCATGGTTCTCTGGTCCCTGTCATGGTTCTCTGGTCCCTGTCATGGTTCTCTGGTCCCTGTCATGGTTCTCTGGTCCCTGTCATGGTTCTCTGGTCCCTGTCATGGTTCTCTGGTCCCTTTCACGGTTCTCTGGTCCCTTTCACGGTTCTCTGGTCCCTTTCACGGTTCTCTGGTCCCTTTCACGGTTCTCTGGTCCCTTTCACGGTTCTCTGGTCCCTTTCACGGTTCTCTGGTCCCTTTCACGGTTCTCTGGTCCCTTTCACGGTTCTCTGGTCCCTTTCACGGTTCTCTGGTCCCTTTCACGGTTCTCTGGTCCCTGTCACGGTTCTCTGGTCCCTGTCACGGTTCTCTGGTCCCTGTCATGGTTCTCTGGTCCCTTTCATCTGGTCCCTGTCATGGTTCTCTGGTCCCTGTCATGGTTCTCTGGTCCCTGTCATGGTTCTATGGTCCCTTTCATCTGGTCCCTGTCATGGTTCTCTGGTCCCTGTCATGGTTCTCTGGTCCCTGTCATGGTTCTCTGGTCCCTGTCATGGTTCTCTGGTCCCTGTCATGGTTCTCTGGTCCCTGTCATGGTTCTCTGGTCCCTGTCATGGCTCTCTGGTCCCTTTCACGGTTCTCTGGTCCCTTTCACGGTTCTCTGGTCCCTTTCACGGTTCTCTGGTCCCTTTCACGGTTCTCTGGTCCCTGTCACGGTTCTCTGGTCCCTGTCACGGTTCTCTGGTCCCTGTCACGGTTCTCTGGTCCCTGTCACGGTTCTCTGGTCCCTGTCACGGTTCTCTGGTCCCTGTCATGGTTCTCTGGTCCCTTTCATCTGGTCCCTGTCATGGTTCTCTGGTCCCTGTCATGGTTCTCTGGTCCCTTTCATCTGGTCCCTGTCATGGTTCTCTGGTCCCTTTCATCTGGTCCCTGTCATGGTTCTCTGGTCCCTGTCATGGTTCTCTGGTCCCTTTCATCTGGTCCCTGTCATGGTTCTCTGGTCCCTGTCATGGTTCTCTGGTCCCTGTCATGGTTCTCTGGTCCCTTTCATCTGGTCCCTGTCATGGTTCTCTGGTCCCTGTCATGGTTCTCTGGTCCCTGTCATGGTTCTCTGGTCCCTGTCATGGTTCTCTGGTCCCTTTCATCTGGTCCCTGTCATGGTTCTCTGGTCCCTGTCATGGTTCTCTGGTCCCTGTCATGGTTCTCTGGTCCCTTTCATCTGGTCCCTGTCATGGTTCTCTGGTCCCTGTCATGGTTCTCTGGTCCCTGTCATGGTTCTCTGGTCCCTGTCATGGTTCTCTGGTCCCTGTCATGGTTCTCTGGTCCCTTTCATGGTTCTCTGGTCCCTGTCATGGTTCTCTGGTCCCTGTCATGGTTCTCTGGTCCCTGTCATGGTTCTCTGGTCCCTGTCATGGTTCTCTGGTCCCTTTCATGGTTCTCTGGTCCCTTTCATGGTTCTCTGGTCCCTGTCATGGTTCTCTGGTCCCTGTCATGGTTCTCTGGTCCCTGTCATGGTTCTCTGGTCCCTATCATGGTTCTCTGGTCCCTGTCATGGTTCTCTGGTCCCTGTCATGGTTCTCTGGTCCCTGTCATGGTTCTCTGGTCCCTGTCATGGTTCTCTGGTCCCTGTCATGGTTCTCTGGTCCCTGTCATGGTTCTCTGGTCCCTGTCATGGTTCTCTGGTCCCTGTCATGGTTCTCTGGTCCCTGTCATGGTTCTCTGGTCCCTGTCATGGTTCTCTGGTCCCTGTCATGGTTCTCTGGTCCCTGTCATGGTTCTCTGGTCCCTGTCATGGTTCTCTGGTCCCTTTCATGGTTCTCTGGTCCCTTTCATGGTTCTCTGGTCCCTGTCATGGTTCTCTGGTCCCTGTCATGGTTCTCTGGTCCCTTTCATGGTTCTCTGGTCCCTTTCATGGTTCTCTGGTCCCTTTCATGGTTCTCTGGTCCCTGTCATGGTTCTCTGGTCCCTGTCATGGTTCTCTGGTCCCTGTCATGGTTCTCTGGTCCCTGTCATGGTTCTCTGGTCCCTGTCATGGTTCTCTGGTCCCTGTCATGGTTCTCTGGTCCCTTTCATGGTTCTCTGGTCCCTGTCATGGTTCTCTGGTCCCTGTCATGGTTCTCTGGTCCCTGTCATGGTTCTC